AAATGCACTGCCCATCACACTATACCGAGTTGATTCACACTGAAGGATTACTTGCTGCATATACTGAACTGTTTATCATGAGCCGCACCGTGAACACTGTTCCTGATATTTACCCACCACAGGACAGGGCATCGCTCACTTAAACTGATCCATCGAATCTACTATGGATTGCTGGATTTGTTGTACGTTCTTTCTAGTACGCCATCCAGCATGTACGTGCACGTTCGACTAAATTACATAACACTCAGCCGACTGTTTGCTCACTCACTTTATTTGACGTCTAACCAAGTTTTCGGTGAACCACTCGTCCTTCGCCCGTGTTAGTCCACGGAAACCCATTACTGATAGGCTTTTGTTGCTGGTGCCCGTCTCACCCGGCGGTTTTTCCAAGAAATTGCGTTACCACTTCACTATCGACCGAATAACACCTAAGGCTACGTCTTGAGTGCTTGATCAGAAACTGTGTATTGATGGGGATGAAGAAAACGCCAAAGAACTAGTATTTCTATCATAAAGGCATGATTATCGAATGAGTGTTTGAAGTCGCTATCTAGGAAACTGATTATTAGAACAGATTGGAACGATAAAAATTCACCAGGGTAGTTGTCTAGTCCGGGAAGATATCCGGTGGGAGGGTTGGGGAGAGCAAGCAGGTCTCTACGGTATCGTTGATGATCACATGTTATTAGAAGTCCTCATTCACACTGGTGACCATAACTTCGAAGGAAACTTCTCAAGGTGGAACAGAATTCTACACTGGTTTTATCTACAAAGAAGTACAAAGCTCTCCTAGAGAAGAGTAAGCTATATATTGGCGAGACATTTACAAGCATTATCTTCCCTTTTGTCATTCACCTCCGCAATGTTTATACTTGATGTAATGAGCCTCGCCGGTATGTTTATGTATTCGTTAAACGCGAATGGCTCACATCTGATGGTAGGACGCTTAGCTTTGGCATCCGTTTGTCCTTCAATACACGTAGCTTATCAAACTCTAGGTGTGTGGAATCGGACTAGAGGCCCGTATCTCTGAGTTACTAAGGCTTTGAACGAGTGTTCGGTACAGGGTCAATGGGGTCGAAAATACTTCATCCTTATTACCTTTACCTGCTTTTGCATCTCTCTGATAAATATACTTTGGTAATCAATTTTCTTGCAAGACAGATGTAAAATATTTTCGAGTAGTTCGATGAAGAAGTGCTCTTGAGCATCTTCAGATTATATCTGTCAGTTAATTGTTTGGCCAAATGTGAAAGAATCAAGTATTTAAGAGTCCCTCTCAGTGTATTCAGTACAAAGAAGCAAACTGTGTCCAAATGTGAATTCAAATCTCAACGAGAAAATGACACATTCCATATATGTTTCAAGCAATTTCGCGATCATAAGCTGCACTTCACGGGAATCAACATAATTCATTCTCCATTTTTTTGTAATTGGCGCGAGTGCACGGTGCACGAACGAAGACCGTTTTATTTTCTAGTTTTAGTGGTATTTAGTTCAATATATAAACAAGTGTCCCATGAGCCGAGAGCAGTTGATTCAATCGAGGCAATTATTTCCCCACAAAGAACACAATATCACAACCACGCATCTCAGTTGATGCTTAGTGTAGAAAAAATAGTTGATATAGCACAAGTGTAAATAATCTAACATGGTATCAAGTCACTATTCCGCTTACGTGGTTACTACGTCAATGCCAGACTAGTGTAGACCTCCTGCTGCAACAGCAGGAGCTTTCGGCGCTGGATTACTATAGTCTCTGCAAATCTTAGATGCAGTCAGTTCGACGAAAAGAAATCCCTCGCTCGGCCTGATGACGAGTCTGTAGCAGATGGAATACGCAGATGCCCCTAATTTCTGCCCACTTAAGTCGCTCCATGCCCATATTGAAATTCAGTGCAGCTATACGGTGCAGAAACGTGGCCATTACGGGACCAGGATGAAAATAGATTGTGCGTGTTCGAACAACGCTGTCTACGTCGCATTGCACGAGTTTTGTGGGTAACCGGATTAGCAATGCTGAGGTTGGGTGTAAAGTTTTAGGTAGTCCCGGTTATCAACCGGAGCAAGTAGTCGATCTCCATAGATTACACGGGTTGGGACATGTCACCAAAAGGTGGCCACAGCGCGCGATGTTTACCGAGGCAGGTAGCAGATGGAAAAAGTCAAGGGTGGTCAAATCAAGACTTGGTATGAAAACCGTAACCAGGAAACTGGGTCACATAGGTCCTGTTTGGCCCCCCTGGATGGGGTTTCCGAAATTATACTCACCGATGGTTAGAGGAACTGAGCGATTCGGCTGGGTATCACAAACAGTGGCTTTCATGCATCTACTCATTATTCTTGCAACATCAATCTATATGATTTCTCTATCCTCCTCTTGAATTTTCCCTAAACATTCCAATCTTCGTTCTCTCTTTTATCCAAATGGGCGGCCAAAAGATAGCAATCAAAATCGGCGCATTAGAGTGCATCATTATTGGTTGTAAAATCTGAACTGAACGGAATTGGTCCTGATAAACACATAAGAGGAAATGCGAATTGGTACGATGTTAGATTATCAACACCTGTGTTATATCCACTGTCTTGTATTCTGCAGTAAGTGCCAGTTGAGGTGCAATGAAATTATTCTGGAATTAAATCATGCTCGCCGGCGGTGTTATGTTCTCTGTTACAGTAGATTCAATTGGTTCCCATGAGTCTCATTTCCTTTATACCCTCACAGCTGTTTCACAATGCTTCTTCCATCCACAAACACGTAACAAACTATCTGATGGTTTGATGATTTAAATATTGATACTTGACAGATGCATCTGTGCCTTGAAACCTTAATCCGAATCATTACATCAAAAGAAGAATATATTAATCCTGAGTACTCATATGATGCTTGCGATAAAAGTTTTTTCTGTTCCATTTGGCGTTTATTAGAACATTCTGTTATTTCTATATATCAACTCATAAAAACGTGTTCCATGGTATGCTTCTATAAAAAAACCGAGGAAGCTTCTCAAGTGTGCTTGATCCCATCCATATGCCTAGAACGAAAAGAACCATTTACGAATCTGCTGTTGGTGAACAAACATAATCCGCCAGTGCAACGGAAAATATCCAAAGTAATTAAGAAAGGGAGGATTTGTAAGAGTTGTTCACTGTCCCATATGTGACAAGAAAATCATAAAATCACTTCAGTATTACATGCAGATGGAACCCTCGGTGGACACCGGTATACTGGGAGGCCGTGTTTTGTTTTATTGGCTACGGTGATAGTGATTAAGCAATGATCAACTTACCGCCCCGGAAGTCATGTGATCGAACGGCATGGTCACCATTACCTAAATTCCTCTTGATGATAACATTATGCACTCAAAAATTAAAGCTAAACACAAAACAGGGAATAATACTTTAATAATTAGCTAATTAATATAGAAATCTCGTTCATTCATCTTGTTTAAAATCGGAACTCTTTCACATCTTGAAAATTCATTTCATTCAGTCATCGAACGTTTTGCCATCGGCAGTAAAACTGCACCTTGTCACTTCGTCACCCTCTGATCCTGTTTTGGTGGATATCGCAAAATGAGATAGTGTCGTCTTCTTTTATCATATCCTCTCCGAATATCACTATTTTAGCAAACCCCTTGATCTTACAATCAATAGTCAAACAATACCAAAGGTCGGTGATAATAATTAAATTGGTTGGATTATTCAAAGAGAGTTCATATGCTGTTTTGTTCGTTCAGACGTAAACGTTCATTGTTTCGAACTCCCGTCCTGTCCCATTCCGTTGCAAAACGAAATTGAATTTAACCTGTTATTTAGACCAGCTTAATGCAATACGGACATTCAGTTATGCATGCATGAACTAATTTTGACCGAAATTCTAAGGTTATTATATATAAAACTGTAACATTCTGGGGTTATGGAAAGTATTGAAACATTAATTGGATTCAGTGAGTTGGAATAAAACCGAAGGAGCTTTCCTGCTGTTCAGATTGCAGGAATACAGAACCCTGACAGATGTCTTCGTTTCCAATCTCACTCAATCACTTTACACCTCCAACAAATTGCACTAATTTGCAATTATATCTTACCAAAAAACACGTTTTGTTTGATATTGCGTTAGTACATCATTACGGCAACTAGCACTTGACTTGACAAGGCGGGAAAACAACCCTTATCACCTCTCTCTGTGACTTCCGCAATGGAACTCTTTTGAACGAACGAACCCACCCCCACACACGCACCTCATGACCACACACACACACACGCACACACACACACACAAAGTCAGGGGATCAATGTATGAATTCCAAAGTAATAATCTCTTTTGCTTACCGCGAGAATAGGAAATAAGCAAATCCATGGAGTACAATTGTTGGATAATGTCAATTGTGTATGAGGAGAGATAGGGGGAGAGTATGTACATCTCTGGGACACCGAAAAAGAGGGGGTGGGCGATGGACGGTCGTCAGAGTTGAACGATGAAAGAGTCAACAAAAAGGAAAAAGTTATCTGGTATGGTATGGTATGGTACGGTATGGTATATCCAACACTGAGTCGAACCGAGTTTCGTAACCAGGCAAGTTTGCTTGAGGAATATTTGTTCAATCATTTCACAATCGTTATGAATAAAAATGTATGTGGTATAACTGGGAATCAGTGATCTGGTTGTGATAATTTATTGCTTAAACACACATACAGATGTTATTCAATGACCGATTAAATTCATGAGGTGAAATGAAAGATAGGTAGACAAGAGGTGGTGCCTTCGCTCTGAACAGGTCGTCGAAGATTTGCGAGATTTCGCGCACAGTTTCATTGTTTACACAGATGCCGCTTGGTTTTTCATGTGAGGGGTGGGGATACAATATATATATATATATATATGAAATCAACCACTAGAGGTGGATTGACTATTTCGCAGGGTAAAGTAATCATTACCCCGAATGCCGGAAACTGCAAAATGACTGTTCAGTACAGAAAAATGGACACTGCTTTAATTAGTCCGCGTCGCGCGGAACGCAGTCACACTGGCAGATCCCCTCATCCGTGGATGCCAACGTTTTGACCAGGTCGTCATAATGACCCCGGAGCAAACGATCCGTGGTAAACGAATCGACCTGACCAGATTGTACAGCCTGAGTGAATTTGGCCCACACGTGACGATTCCTCCCGACCGCATCGAATGCCGGTTCACACTCGGGCAGGATTAACGAGAGCGCGCTGACCCCCATTGGCATTCACGTGTGTTCGATTGAGGTCGGGAGGGGGCGGCGTGGCGGCCGAATCGCGGTGAGTTGAGTTGACCAGGGAGCACGAGCATGACGGAGGGAAATTAGGGTGGGCGGGTGATTTGGTTTATTAGAAAAGAAATGCTTTATTCTATTGTCGTCAGTTGAGTAAAGAACAGCCAAGAAATTAATAAATGGACAGAGCTGAATGAATATGACTGTGGGATCGGACATATGTACCCGTGACCTTTTCCACCGTTTATAAAACCAATTCGGTTGGACGAGATTCATGCTTGTGCCGAGCGAACGAATCAGGCTAAAGTTCTGTTTGCTACTGAATGTTTCTCTCCAAATGTGTGAAACCGATATAGTAAATAAATTACCACGTTAAGTTGAACAATTACATATTTGCAAAGTGGAAAGGCAAAGAAATTTCTTCTTCGGGCATTTACATCATATATATACACACTGGTATTCGTTGCACTCGCTAATTTTCTCTGATGCGACGTTCCATTGCAGTGTAAGAAATGCTAGTTTCTCGAAATTTTACAAATCAGTACTCGGTACATGAAAATCGATGAGCATTGAGCACTCGGATGATTTTTAGGAGTAACCACGAATATGCATACTACTGAACTGAACTCAGCTGCAGACTGAAAACCTCAAATCCCAGTAAGTATAATCCAATACAACATAATTCATCATGGGTATAAGCAATATTGATAATTCATAGTCAGCGTGGCAGAGGAAATACAGAGAAGTGTGAACCGATTTGTCGGTGAATAAAATAATGCGGTTTTACACGAAAAGTGCAACTATAATGAGAGCAAATTTGGTTTACGCATTCATGATTTTTTTCTTTTCTATGCAAACACAATCCGGTCTTCCAAGCTCACTTTGAAACACTGTTCATATATACAATATTGATTTGAACTGATCGTTCTTTATACTTCACTTTCACGCACAATCCTCAGTTCAACGACTATGCCATACACTCGAAAGCACTAGACTCGAGTTTGACTTTTATCAGAGATCATCAGTAGTGCATACCCGCCATCCCGTCCGGGCTTTGAACTCCGAACCCATCGTATGGAAGCTGTGTGTCCTACCCCTGTGCCAACCAATCCATACCAGGGTTGAACCATTTCATGCTTATTCAGGTGTCATCTTCAGTAACAGTCAGTTGGTTTCCTGTTGGCCCGACTGTAACGAAAGAAGACACAGTTGAGTATCTGTTAATTCCCGTCGAAAGCCTACCAAATCAGGTCTTCCATGCAGATTACGAGGGTAGTATACAGTGATCAACATTGATGTGAACCGCCGCAGGAAAGTGCATGGTTAGTGGTTGTACAAACTGAAACTGAAACTGAAACTAAGGCAAGGGTTTGACTAGGTATTAGATTAGACTAGATATATCAGTACCTAGGGTGCGTTTCATCGGACACATTGTGTCGACACGCCGAGGTCAACACTGATGCGATGACCTGGCATGTGTGCATGACAATAATTTCCAGAACCCTTGTTCATGTCGGTTGCTATGGGACCCCCGAAGTGGGACCGGGTGCTCAGGTTTGTTGACAAAATAGAGACGTCAACCGACAGTACATCAAATCTCACAACCTAAGGATTTCCGGTTGAACAGTTTGAAAAGGGACGGGAAATCTTATGACATCCGTCATGCTTACTTAGATGTGTGCCATGCAATTCTCACATTGTGTGATATGAAGCAGTTCAACTAAATAGCACTTTCAAAAGTGTCACCGCTTTTGAAGTGACACAGGGTTGGTCCCCTGAAGCGCAACAGTAAATGTCCTAAAATGATTTTTCAAGACTTTCCGTTATGATAAGTGACATACCGTAAAAATCAAATTGCAATTGGAGAATAAAAGGTGGATAAAGCCAGAGGTTCGGGAGAGTAGAATATGAACTTGTAATAACGCTAAGCAAAACGAGTTTCCGAAGCGCGTAAAATACATATGATTTGAAAATTATAAACAGAAACATGTACATGATTATCTGATAAACGCATAAATTTGGTTTGATTTTATTCTCGCAGAACAGCAGACCTACCGAAAGCATGGAATAACAACCGAGTCCAGAAAGCTGACTTGCAGAACTGGGATAAACGCTTTCCGAGGATCCATGGACGCTGCGGGTTCGTGTCCCAGAGCACGTTCTGCATGGCCTTGGTTGAAGAACTCATCGTACAGTAAACTAGCCGCGATTCGTGTATTAGTCCATGATTTGCACTGATCACTCAGGTCGCTGGAAGTCACCATCAGAGATAGAAGAAGACTCGGGTGGTCGGCAGTGTCCGGGTAGAAACCGGTTATGCTCATCTGTTCGATATGCGGGAACACTTTTAGATGATGCGCCAGATCTGTGGCCAGAATTATTTGTCTTAGCAGTTGCTTAACTTGCCTGTACTCCTGCAATTGGATACAGCGATTGGGTAACAGTTGTAAGCAAAACATGTTCCGCGTCCAGAAATAACTGTGCAAAAATAGATTCGACCTAACGTGTTCTCTGCTTGATTTCGTAAGGAGCAAAGGTTGGTAGCATGGAATGATTGACTCTAGTATTCCTTTATCAACTACCGCGAATGGGGTTCGGAATTAGAGGTATTACGTCACCTGACTTCATTGCTCTCAGTTGAAACAACATTTTAATCAACAATCGTCACTTGGATTGAATACACAGAAGACGAAAATTAACGTCTCAGGGTGCACGATGAACTTGATCATTGTTCCAAGCAAAGGAGGAGTTCAGTTGTTGACCCTTTGTCAAGGACCACCAGGGTGTGAACATATGTAGATGGGTCGCAATTCAGATATGACGCACGACTGGGAATGACAGCACACCAATTCACATGTGACGGTTTGTGAAGATGAGAAAGAAACTTTTTTGGAAAATCTAACATGCTTTTGACTATGGGCGTTTCCGTCACTGAATAAGTCATATGATTCTGACAGGTCGGGAAAGACAACCAGTTATCAAAATATTCATCACATTCATTCAGCAGTTCATATTTACCGTCCCGTTCGGTTTGGAACTTCGATTCCGTCATACTGAAGGCATTTGGGTTTCCATTGTGCTGATCAACTAACACCCGGGTTAAATAGAATCACTAATTCATTATTTTTTCCGATGTGTGTGTGCATCAGTCATTCCAACTATAGTCCATTATAATGGAATTTGACTTCGGTCTTGGTGACATGTTCAACATTTTCGGTCTTACAGAACTCTGTCATGTCGTCCTGTTGAATTCCATGCAACTTGGTCCAATTTCGAGAGGCTGCAACAAATGGAAGTCGGAGCAGTCTCTAGATGTTATTCATGCTAACCAAGTGTTTGACTTCCTTGTGCTGTACGGGTTGCCTGTCGAAATCCCGTACCTCATAAGAGAAAAGACAAACTAACAGAAAAAAAATGTACGCTGAAAAACAAAAAACTTTTCATCCCATATATTTGTTATTTCCCATTTTAATAGTTCCGTCTTTTTCCCATGATCTCNCCCCCCCTTCGCTATTGGTATCGTTATTATTGTTTGGGCGTTGGTATCATGCTTGCCCGCAATCTGGTGTTAAATATATATATATATATATATATCCTTGTGCCTCGAAACATTTCAGTTCAAAACACTTCCGAGTTGCATTCTTTTAACTAACTGGTTTGCTATCTTACTTTACTCTTTCCGTATAAAAGCCACGATTCATGAACTCCCCTCGTGAATTTCATGTGCTTCAGATAACTGAAAACCAAATTTTCGAATAAAACTGAAAACTTGCTGGTTGAAAAATTGCTTTTAATTGTACTGCATACAACTAAAATGCTTACAACGCCAGTGATTGGCGCAAATGTTTGCCTACTCTTCTCTATACAGTCACAGTGAACACGAACTACCGTTAAACACATTCACACTATTCGTCCCGGAATCCTCGCTGGATGCAACTTTAAGAACCGATCGTCTAGTACACTTCGATGGATTCCAGTGCTACCAGCACGGAAGGACGCTTGCCAAGTATACAGATTCTACAAAACCACGAAGCCCAAATTCGTTGGGCGTGGTGCAAGACTTTGACACTTGGAAGACCATCATCACCGGCACAAATAAGTGATGCTATGGATTTTGAACTTCTCCCTATCGTGGACATCACTGGAATTTTTCATAACTTCAAAACGCCCTCTGCTGCTGACATGATGGCTTCCCCTGAAATTATCTGGTATACTCCTGTCTAAACCGTTTTATACAATACAATGCACATATATCTGAGTGCGAATTGCTCGCCAACCAATCGCAGTGCACAGATTTTTAGTTATAACACGGACACGTGCATATGATCTGCTCGTGGGTGGATTGCTGGCGGATTTCCGAACCCAAAAGCTGGTATTGGTTCCCCAGGATTCACAGCGAGAGCATTTAGCCATTCAAGACTTTACCCACAA